CGTTGTGTTTGCGAAGAGCCACGACAACAAACTTGTGCGTTCGTTTAAACCTCCGAAAAGAGACATCGGTGGCAAATTGCTGCGATGTTTCATTAGGAGGCCCTTTGCACACGGTGCGCGTGACTATTTGTTGCCCATTGCAGTCGAGTATTTCTAAGCGGACGCGTTTGTTCCCATTCCCCAATCTCCCATTGGTGTTTTAAAAAATGGAAAATTCAGAAAAATTGTTCACTGTTAAATTGAATATTTAAAATATGCAATGTATATGGTTGCAATGTGTCGCAACTCGGCATATATGTATGTATAAACAGATTGATAACCACAGTATAACTGCCATACCTAAACAAAACCGTCAGCGTTGTCTGGCTGTCAAAAAATTCTCATGCCCATACAATTTGTATGAAGCATACCGAAACAACGCGGCGTCAACGCTGAGCGGTTGGAAAATCCGATTTTGACAGGGCGTTAGGTATTGAAGTTGGCTGCAAAAAAGGGCGAAACTGTCATTTTCGTGTTACACACAAACAAACCTATGCTTATTGTTGGTGTTATTTCTGCATTTGACGTAGCGTTGACGCTTTTGTTTAGGTATGGCACTTCGGCGGTAACGCTAAGCGTCAGAAACCGCTCCGCCCAACGCTTTTGTTTAGGTATGGCAGTAACAGTTTCCAAACATTGTATTGATACGCTTTGGAAGTCAGCCAAAATTGTCAAAGCGGTTTTATGAACGAGTGAGTTTCATTTAGTGTGTAATTTTGTGTAAATATGCATTTCCACATTTACATTAAAACGAAAATGCAATAACTAAAATGAAGCTGATTCTAATGAGATTTTAAATATTTTCATATTTACAAAAACTTTCATTTCAAAGATATTGGGCCGTATGCATAAAAACTAAGCAAATGCTTTTTCTTAAAATTTCAGACCATTCACTCAATTCGTTCAAATAAATTTAAGTGAAAGGTATACAATTTTAAGAAAAAGCAATTGCTTAGATTTTGGGTGCGTTCAGAAATGCATCAAGCCAAAGCATCAGACTCTTTTATTTCAAAACTATAATTGATGGAAGTGCCTTATTTACGCAACTAAGTTCCAATTCGGCTTTTAACCGTAGCGTATATTTGACATTTCCATCAATTATAGTTTTGAAATAAAAGAGACAGATGCTTTGGCTTGATGCATTTATGAACGCACCCTTTATGCATACGGTCCATTGAGTTTTATCAAATATAGTAAATGCATAACAAAGGTTAATTTGGCTGAGTTCCAAGTTGGTATATTCCAAAGCATCAGCCTCTGTTATTTCTAAACTATAACTGATGGAAATAACCAAGTTGAGCAACTAAGTCCAAATTCGGCATTTGAACATGGTTGCGCATATATAAGGTTTTTCCTAACATGTTGAATATCTTCTTTCTGTTTAGTTTACTTTTTTAAAATCTTATTTTTTCCGGCGAACGCCGAAAAAGTGCAAGTTCCTGATCAGGTACAAGGGGTCATACATAAATACTTCCCAGTAGATAATATCAGGAGCTAAAAACTTATCCAAAAGACCTTTCTGAAAGTTATTCCTTTCTCCTTCATTTTTTGTATGGAGCGGCATAAATTGAAGGACTTCTGTTTTGGCTACTTAAAAAAAGGCTTTCAGAAGGACTTTTGTAGGACGCCATTTGAATAAGTTCTTTTAAAGTTTTCCTTAATTTATAAAAATCATACTTCTTAAAGGAATTTATTTAAGGTTCATATCTAATAGTTGTATTTAGACTTGGAATGCCTATTGAATCTTATTTGTAATGCTAAGTAATATAAACATATACTTAAGTATATTCGCGTAAACTGTCAATAGGAAACACCTTTCTAAGAAGCATGCAGGGAAGCACTTTTTTAAGTCCCTGTTGGGTGGGTCTTTTAGAATGGCTTCACTTAAGACAGCCTACCTAAATTATCTTCAGGTTATGCATATAAAAATTGGCAAAAATTATAATGAAGTGCGTTGTAGGGTATGCGGAAATTCGCTAATGGTGGTTAGGCAAACATTCAAGACCACGTTAAAGGTGCCGTTTTTGAAGTGAAACTTCTTTAGCGGCGGTTGGTTGGGTGGCAGTAAATTGGCAAATTCAGCGGAAATTGCACACGGAAATGGTGCAACGGAAATGGTTGGAGCTGAAACAAGTGTTTCTTGTGTGTATGCATATGGTATTAATTTAACAAAAATTTGCTAATAAAAGGGCAAAGAATAACACTTAGAAATAGGCCAAAACAAGGACGACAGTAAAGGTGAGTACGTACATAGATAAAGAAAAGGATAAAGGCAAAGGTAAAAATAAAAACAAAAACAAAAACAAAGATGCGTAAAGATAAAGGCAAAAATGAATTTAAACACTTTAATTATATATATAAGAGCAAAGGTGTAGGGGAATATGTAGATAGAGAAAATGATAAACATAAAAGTAAAAACAAAGATGAGGATGAGGAAAGTAAAAACGAAGATAGGGGAAGAAAGATTAAAATGAAGGTAATGAAAGACGAAGGGATATAGAGACACAGATACTCAACCTGGAAACTATTTTGGGATTATAGAAATTTTCGGGATTCTCGAGACTTATCGCTAAAATAATCGATATTTTTTCATCGTTGTAATCGATTTTGTTATCGATATTGTTATAAATTTTGCTATCTATATTTTCGGAACTTATCGATATAATAATGGATATCTTTATCGATTTTGTTATCGATATTTTTATTTATATGTTATCTATTTTGTAATCGATATTTCTAACTGTTTTGTTACCGATTTTTTTTATCGATTTTGTTAGATATTTATCGATTATGCTATCGATATTTATCGATTTTGTTGCCGATATTTATCGATTTCGTTGTCGTTTTTGTAATCGATATTTATTGATTTTGTAATCGATATTTATCGAATATCTTATCGATGTTATTATTGATATTTATCGATTTTGTTATCGATATTTATCGATTTTGTTATCGATATCTATCGGTTTTGTTATCGATATTTATCGATTTCGTTATCAATAGTTATCGATAGCTATCGATTTTGTTATAGATATTTATCAATTTCGTTATCGATATTTATCGATTTTGTTATTTCTAATCGATTTTGCTACCAGTGGTATTATCGATGTTGCTCTTAAAATTTTTATCGAATTTGTCATCGATTTTGCTATCGATATTTCTAGCGGTTTTGTTATCGATATTTTGTTGGACGTTATTATGGATTTGGTTATCGAAAGAGTATAAAGATAAAAATGAAGATAATGGCAAAACAGAATAACGTGAATATTATTAAAACGAACAGGGGTAGAGGTAGGAATCTAGATAGAAAAAAGAGAAAAAATATAACCTTAAGCAAAAGCAAATGTGTATACATTGCTTATGAGACAAAATAGATAAGTAACGTAAGTTTCACTTCTCCAGTGTGGCCCAGGCGCACTTACTTTTTTTTTCCAAGTTACGTCACCGTCATGATAAATTTGTTCTTTTATAATTAAAAATTCAGAACTTGAGCGTTCCATCATCATAAATTAGGGCCTGTTCGAGGCACGTAATAAAAGCGGCATTACTGCCGTACTGATGAAGAATGGCAACATTGTTGCAAGGAATATATCGGCACCATATTCACTTGTATCTTCGTTTTTGATTTGGATGATAAGTGTCTTAGTCGATGTGTTCAGGATTATGGCAGCCGTAATCTAGGTATGTTAAATTAAAATACATCCCTGGTTCTTTTCCAGCACGTCGAGATTTATTTTTATTGATGGCATGTACTTACATGTTAGAATTTTTAGCATTTCCATGAAAAGCTAAAAGTTAATTAATTTAGAATAGAATTTTTACTTAAAAACCAATAGTATTAGTAACAATACTCATAAAGAGCCTAAGTAAATCAGAACGACTTATGTTATTTCGAAGTTAACGCTAGTAATGCACGGCAATGCTAAGAAAAATTAGAAAAATAATTTTCTCGAAAATATTTCGTGACGAAATTTTTATTACCTTTTTGGTAGCGTGGTACCTATACATACCCAAATCGCTTATTATTTTTGATTATATACTTGGATGTGAAATAACACATTTTCAAAAATTTTTTTGCAGATTTGCGCTCCAATGCAACGAACATACTTATTTTAAGCCATCTTACAAAATCTTTTATCAAGATAAAAAATCCCCATACACGAATTTTGCCACTGTTAAAACTTATACATATATACATATGTTTCTGGCAAACAAAATTACATACGGCAGGCAATAATTTCCGCCTGCGGAGACGCGTCGTTAGCTAGTATTTCAATGTTGTAAAGGGTGAAATATTATTGATTATGGGTAAAAGGCGATTATTTGAATCAAAAGTTTACATCATTTAACTGAAATTTGAACAATGTAAACACTTATTAAATACAATGAACGTGTACGATTAGAAAATAATAATATTCTGAACGAAATTGTTTGAAAATTTCATTACTGCTATAAAACTTGAAAAGGAGGACAAGGAGGACATTTTTGCTCAAAAGGAGGACAGAGAAGGATAACATTTTTGAGGACAAATCACGTTTGAGGACAATCCTCCTCAAAGGAGGACGGTTGGTCAGCATAGCATATGGGATGTCCATCAGTTATAGTTTAGAAATAAAAGAGGCTGATGCTTTGCAATATACCAACTTGGACTTCAGCCTTTCTTTGTTTACATTTTTTGACATTACAGTCAGGTATGAGAGAGCTCGACTGAATAGTCACTTCTACCTCGTTGAATATGCCTTGTATCATCCCCACCCCCTGTCATCCGAATTTTTTGCTTGTGAGTCCACCCAAAGTGTTCAAATCAAGAAATGTTTTACGCATTTTGTCGTCACGTCGGTTAAAACCATTTTTATTTATTCCAAGCAAGCAGTAAACTCGCCAGTCTCATATAGAAGCAAAAACACGTAAGCTTTAATACAAATTAAGACATAAATAAAACAAATAATAAGAACATTCAATTTAGGTGTGAAATTAATTTCAAAGGTTTATTCCGTTCTATAATTGCTTAGTTCAAATGGTAAAATAGCAGCAATCGTACTTTTTACTATTGTATTTATGTCATCTCATCACGCTCTTTGTAAATGAATATGTTTCATAACGCATACTTTTCACAATTTTTCGTTAAGTTTGATTTTATTTGTAGTATATTTTGCTGTACCAACAAACTACAGTGCCAAACAATTATTTCAAAATCTCCTGCCTGCATCTGTATATATATCTGTTGGTATTACTCATTTTCACTCACATACTCGTACAATCATTTGTGATTAATATAACAATTAACGCTTTTTGCTCTTTTTCTTTTGTGTAGTTTGCATTTTCATCTCATTCATTTTTCTTTAATGTACAAACTATTTCTAAGTTTAATAAAGAAACGCAATCATTCGCTTTGTTGGTTATATTAAGTAGTCTAATAATATTAATATAGATTTATGATGTTGGATTTGTTAAACATTCATACTTCGGCGACAAATATTCATTTCAAACATAACTTTAGAATTATTCAATTTTCTCATACGGTTATTAATTATAAAAAGATGTATTTGAATAATAATTGTATGTGTGGTTTTTCACTTGTTTCTTTTTCACGTAAATCAAAACATTCGCTCTTCACTCATAACTTCTTTCAACTGCTGATGTTGTTGTGTTATTTTTACTCATCCTGCATATCTTCCGGCAATTCGTGCGGATTTAACATGCCCGGTATATTGCGCTGCATTAGACGCTTGTTAGCTTGTTCTTCTCGTAGTGCTGCCTCTCTTTCTTCGAGATATAAATCAGAATCGTCCTCACCAGTTATTTCCTATAAATTAAATAAAAACAAAAAATTAGTTTGAAACAAGATTCGAGTTATAGGTGTTACACAATTTCTCTATGGCACCAACACAACTAGCTTATCACGCGTAAAAATATCGTACAATTTATAATAATTTTTATATACAAATGTAGGATTAGGTCCTAGTACGGTAACACGGCAACACCGACACTAGTCCTTTAGTAGAGGCAGGCAACCTAACGAACGCACTGTCTAAATATGCATGTAGGTATGTTCGATATTTAAGAAAGTATCGATATCATGAATCGGTTTAATTCATTGCATGTAAAATCGATGCGATATATCGGGCTGAACAATATCGATATCGAAAAAATCGATGTTGAAAATCCTACTCCCAATTGAATAGAATATTAAACCTGCCTATCAACTCACCTAATTGTGTTATTTCCATTTCGTATATTTACTGCGGATTAAAACGGCATGCCGCACATAGGGGTATTTGGCCGATTTAGGCGGCCAAAATTATTTTTATGAAAATTTTATTTCAAAATGTTTAGAAAAGACGTGTTACGATGTCTAAAATTGTAAATGTTTAAAATCAAGTAAATATAGGTGGAGGACGTACAATTATTCCTCCAAAGCAACGAAAATAAAGTTGGTTAAAGTTTGACACCGATAGACTCTATGGTTACCGTGGTCCGATTGTAGAAACACGCATACCTACATACGTGTTCGTCTCGGCGATGTTTATATATAGGTTAGTACATGCAAAGAGTTGCCACCTGGTAAAAACATAAATATAGTTAAGTTAACTGAATTACTACAATATGGGTATCAATTGAAATGGTTTTGAAAGGCAGAGTTACCACCTACAGACAAATTATTATTTTTTTATAATGTTGCTCAAATTTGTTTTTATTGTTAAAATGCGTATGGACTTCCTTGAGATATAAGTTACAAAAAAAATGATGGAAATAATCAATTTTATCTTGTAATGCAATGGATAATAAATGTGTAATTGAATTCTAAAACAAAATTTGTGTAAAAAACTATTTTAGGATGATGATGAGTACCAAGATTCTTCATCGGACCCTTCTTCCTCTTCTGAAGACTCTCCAGACTTAGTTGGTTCAGCTGGAAGCAACATATCGATTTCTTCCTTTGAAAAGGGTTTGGTTCTTTTTTGGCTTTGGCCTGAAACTACTAATGAGTGGATCAGAGCTTAGGAGTAACCTGTTCAACACGACCAGATCGCGGCTGTTGCATACCTTTGGGCAGGGTTTGAAAATGCTGTAATATTTTTATTTAATTTGCTTTTGCTGTGCTTTGACTTCGGCATGTATGATATCGAAAGCAAAGCAAAAGCAATTCAGAAAAAAACAAATATTTTGGCTGCCGTTTTGCTATGAAATTTCGAAAGCAATTTGTGGAAGCACAAAGACAGCGCAGCAGCAGCAAATCAACATCAACTTGACTATAAATTTGCTGCGAAACATCGAATTGGCAGAAACAGAGGTTATTATATGTATGCGTGCGCAGTCCACTAGTCGCTTACCCTGATAAGCTTTGCATTGATCGCGGAGTTAATATGAACTTAGATAATATACCATGCTGCAAAAGCGTCATGTGCACAACACAGCAAAGCAGATAACAGCACAGCAAAAGCACTATCACAGTAAATCAAAAGCAATAAAATTGTTTAAATAAACTGCCGATAAAAAAACAGAATAAACTTTTCAAAGTCACAGCAAAAGCAAAGCAGTTCGAATCAAAATCGAAAATTTCAAAGCTAAGCAACAGCAAAAATAGTAATGCTGTTGCTGCTTTGCTGACAGTTTTTCAAACCCTGCCTTTGGGTATTGAAAATGTTCCTTGTAGCCATGTTACGTTACTTTTAAAAAAAAACTTTCTTTTCCACGGGCTTTTATCCACCTTTGTATAAACTGTGCTTTTAGTTGTGAAAATTTGTGCTTTATATCTCTTATTTGTTCATCGGAGAAGGTATCACATGATAATATATCATTTTGAAGAAACTTTATTTTGTTCTCAAAATTCATAGAATTTTGTCGATGTATATTATCAAATAAATATTTTCGAGTTACTACTCTATAGCAGGAACCAGTTGATGACTCTTAAGCAAAGGAAATACTTAAAAATGACAAAATATGTATTAGAGGTATACGCCGCCGAGCCACGCCGCCGCCGCCGCCGTTTTTTGTCATTACTCACGCGCCGCCGCCGAGTTACGAAAATATCGGCGCGGCGGCGGCGGCGGCGGCGGCGTTCGGCGCCTAAGGAATTTTGTACAAAGTTTTCATGAAACGCATCGCTTGAAGGAACTACTACTACAGAATATATAACAACTTTTTTCAATACCACAACAATATTCATTTTTTACAGATTACTACAACAACAAGAAAGTTGTCACACACCAAAAGACTTTAACGATAATATCTCAGAAAGCAGTTTTAACAGAAGTGCCCTTATTGCATCTAACTCCTCGATTATTGGAGATAAAACAAAAACAAATTGATCTTCTTGTGTATTTTTTCTTTAATAAAGAGTTGAATATTTTTTAAACAGATTTTAAATAAGTAAGTTATTTTATTCCGGGGTCCCACAGACGTATACAAGTTCTATGTGGCTGTGTGAAAACTATGTTAGCATTCACAAGTGGTGGGCAAACCCCAGAAAGGTTTTGCTCCATCGCATCGCAATGTTTTCTACACAGGGTTAAAGTTCCCCCTTCTTGATGGAAATTAGTAGTATTTTTCATTACTTTTGTTTACCCTCGGAAAATTTGGCACTTAAAATTTTAGTGGAAATTTTAACCAGGCCTGTTCTGCTGGGAGTTGATGGAAAAAACCCCCGGAAAATAGTAGACCACCCTAGTTTTCAATCTATAACCCGCAAAAAATCGTAAGAACCCCTTAATTTAACATAACCGTAGATAATGTTATTTCAGAAAGTTATTAATAGCAAAATAAATTACTCCAATAACTTAGCTTTAAATTTTTTTTTTATTTCTTTAAATTTAAATAGTACATACGGATCTATAGAGAACATAGAGAACCATGTATGTATGTAGTATATTTCTTTATTTCAGTCTACAGAACTAGTTTCTTACAGACTAGTGAAGACTCTAGGTGAATATTGTAAACAAATTATTCTTAAATCTATCAATACTTAAGTTAAAATCGATGACACTAGAATATGTATTGCACAATTCAATGATCTAGCAATTGGTTCATTTTTGGCATAATTCGTGGTATGCAGAGCATCAACCAATAGCCTTTTGTTTCTTAAATTACGCGGGGGATTATATAATATGAGCAAATCTGTAAAATAAGCGCAATTTGTGTGCCCATTGATTATTTTATAAATAAATGTAATGAAGAAGGAATCTCTTCTTTCCTTCAAAGACTGGAGACCCAGCAATTTCTGTCTGCCAATATAGGGAGGAACATAACCTTGCCAGGGCAAATTGCAAATAGCGAATATGGTGAAAATCTTGTGAACTCTTTCTATTTTGATCGAGTCCACTTCATAATATGAACTCCATATTATAGAACAGTATTCCAGACGGCTTCTTACTAAAGGATTTTAAAGTTACTGGATCTCTGAACTCTTGAGTATTTCGCCTAATAAAGCCTATCATTGAGAACGATTTAGATACAATATAGTCAACGTGTTTTGTAAACGCGAGTTTGGAGTCAAAAATAATGCCCAAATCTTTTATTTCAGTGCTCCGCTTTATAACGCAACCATCTAACCATTATAGTCAAAAGGTATATCACTACTAGACTGCCTCGAGAACGTAACTACGCAACATCTACCTATATTTAGGTTCAAACAGTTTAATGTACACCACTGCTTAAATTCATCTAGATCGAGCTAAAGACGATTACAATCTGAGAGATCACGCACAACTGAAAAAAGTTTAACATCATCTGCAAACATCAGGCAGTTTGCAAAATAAAAATAGTTAGGCAAGTCGTTTATAGAATAAACAACAGTTTAGAATAAACAACAGTGGTCCACAATGCGTGACCTGTGGTATGCCCGACCATGCATTAACTGTCACTTGAGATGTTGTTGCCCCAATTTGCACAAGTAACTTTCTTTGCGTTAGACCCTCTTCGGTTCGCCTATCCATCAGCGCCAGGCACTCAAAATTTTAATTCAAGTAGGAAGTAACAATATTTAAATTTAAAACTAATTTAATAAGGAATGCCTAACGCTGACGAGATGACATGATAAGATTAGTAGCCTCATGGCTCTTATGGGCAGTAGCGCCGGCCTTTACAGACGCGCCGGCGTCGCCGCCGCCGCCGATTATTTTTGAAGTTGACCACGCCGCCGCCGCAAAGCCTGTCGGCGTAAACCTCTAATATGTATGGAAACGAAATTTTTTTTTTAGATCTATCGTAATTATTGGTCATAAAAAGCTCATCGGTAGCTATCGGAAGCTAATTTTTGTCCAGTATACTATCAAAGCTCCATTCTATAGAACGCAACTAGTAATGTAACGTGAAAATGCGTGGAAGTATAACTAAAAGCTTACGGTTTACAAAGTAATGAAAAAATAATCACTAAAAAAGTATAATATTTCCGATTACTGATATTATTACTGAGATTAAATTTTGCTAAATCGAAACTATTTAAAATAAATGTAGATTTACCTGTGTCTTCAGACTTCATAACAATTTTTAATTTTATAAAGACCACAATAATAATAATCACTTTTGAACGCAACTGTTTCACAATGAATGTCGTAAAATAAAACGTGCACTATCACAAACTGACAAGTTGCGACTGAGATACTCCGTCAAAGCGGCGTCATAAGGTCGGGCTAGGGGTTGCCTATTGTTCCGCAACTATTCAACCATAGTTGCCAACTTAGTGCTTTAAGCACTAGATTTAGTGCTTTCTGAAAATTAAAACGCCAAAAAATGGTTTAGTGCCTAGTGCCCTTTTTAGTGCTTTTTTCTGAACTAAAATTTCTGAATTTACAAGAATCTAAAAAT